AAAAAAAAAAAAAAAAAAGCTGTGCCAGCTATCAAACCTTGCCCTCCAAACAAAGCATCTTCGGCTGCAGGTGGCTGATTTGCATCCCCTGGTCGAAGGGAGATGTCCATTTCATTTACTCTTCTGTGTGCTCTCTTTCATCTCTACAGCAAATGAGACAACCGGGAGGCAGGGTGCCAAGACTGTCTGAGCTTAGTTCTTGCAGAACTCCCTTTGCATTGTACTTTAATGGGCTACAGCTTAATTTTAATTGACGGTTTGTATGAGAGCAAAGCCTATGAAATCTGCATATGTGTGAAACTGTGGCTGAGGAGACTGGCAATCCCATCGCTTCATGCCACCTATGAAGTCCCATGTACCTACGTTCTCCTACCATCTATTGCTAAGAGCTCATATTCCCCTTTGTGAAACTGGAACGCTTCCTTCTTCCTGACAGGAGATAATTCATTTTCGCTCTGGCTGCCAGGAAGCTCATGTCATGGCTAAGTGGAACAGTCAGCCCAACAGCTGTTCAGTTTTGTTTGCTTCCTCAGCCTCTCCTTGGTCCTAATCACTGTTTTCCTTTTTGTTTGATACATGCAACCTCAGATTCATCTGTGGAGAGATACTAAGGACCTCTTTTAGAAGAATGTGTGTTTGATACAAATGATGGCCTCTTTGTCTCTGGTTGGGGAGCCACGCCATTACCTTTCCTACGTAAAGCACAGCACAGCCAGGGGCCTGCCTCAGAGTTCCACAGCAAAGGTGCAGTTCAGTGGCAATAAGTACATTCACAGAGCTGTGCGATCGTCACCACCATCTATTTCCAGAACTTTCTCACCCTCCCAAACAAATTCTGCATCCATTAAGTAATATCGCCCCACTCGCCTTAGTCCCCTCAACCTCTATTCTACTTTCTGTCTCTGTGAGTTTGCCTACTCCAGGTACCTCATATGAATGGAATCATACAATGTTTGTCCTTTTGTGACTGGCTTATTTCACTTAAGTTAATTTCTTCAAGGTTCATGCATGTTGTAGCATGTCTGATTCACCTTCCTTTTGAAGGCTGAATCATATTCCATTGTGTGTGTATATCACATTTTGTTTGCCCATCCTTCAATGGACATTTAGGTTATTTCCACCTTTCGGCTGTTGTGGATAATGCTGCTATAAACATGGGTGTACAAGTATCTTTTTTAGTCCTGCTTCCAGTTCTTTTGATTACATACCCAGGAGTGGGATTGCTACATGATAGGGGAGTTCTGTTTTTAATTTTTGAGGCAATGCCATACTGTTTTTCACAGCAGTTGCACCATTTTTTATTCCCATCAGCAGGGCACAAGGGTTCTAATTGCCCTGCAGCCCTTCCAACACTTGTTACTGTCCGTTTTTCTTACATAGTGACCATCCTAATGAGTGTGAGGTAATATCTCATTTCCGTTTTGATTTGTACGCGAGGCACCTTTTGTTCATTCTAAACACACTTGGTCCCTTGTCTCTGCTTATAATGCTCTTCTGACTCCTTAACACCTGTTATCTTTTGTAGAGACTCCAGCTCCCTCAGCCTTTAATGCTGATGTTTCAGTCTCCGGCTGGGGGCCAGATTGTATAGGGTATTGTAGGCCAAGAGGAGGAATTGAGAATGTACTCTTGTCTGTCTTTAGAAGAATACTGAACACAGACTCTGAACGATAATTCCGCCCTGTATTGAGCAGCACTGGTATAGGTTAATGGTGGTGAGAGATGGGTGCTATGTGACGACACTCCATCAGGGGACCCAGAATATGCACCCCTGCCCGCTTAATCCACTTTATCCTTCTGTGAGGCTTCAAACAGGGAACAATGACAAAGGACAGCCAGGTGTCATCGGATCATTAATGGGGCTTGTGCAAAGCCACAGTGCCGATCTCCTTGGACAACAGACTGGAGTGTGTGGGGTTCATCATTCAGTCTGTGTTTTACAGATTGAGCTTCCTAAGACCAAAGAAAGCATTTATGGCCCTCCTTGGTTTGAAGGGAAAATGCTCAATAGCGGTTTGCAGTTTCTATGTTAATTTAAACACCCTCCTAGTCCTCCTGATTTTCCATTCCATACTTGCATCGTATTCTGTATGCTTTTTCCCCATGGTGGTGGTGGTCAGCTGAGAGAAGGAGCTCTGGCATTTGCCTTGTATATCTGCAAGCCTCTCAGGAGTTGAGAAGAGTATTATCTTTCTACCCTACTACTAGCGCAAGGCCAGGCTCAGCGACTGTTTGAAGAATGAGAAAGAAGAAGTATTAGTCATATCCCTACACCTTCTTCCTGCCCCTATAGCCCAGCATCCTCAGAATGCAGCCTGGTCCCACATCTTCAGTGCTGCTGAGAGGGCGGACCAGCAGACATGCGCAGTGCGATCATTGCATGAGGGGGAACTGTGCTAGGGAAATAAATCCATGTAGAATGGCTGAAGGGAGGCATCTTTCTTTCTCATCCTATTCATCATCACTTAATAATGCAAATACAGTACTTCAGGAATGTGTATGGACTTCATTTCAGGGTACCAGGGAATACCTTGAGGTGAATGACCATTCCAAGGAACTTCTCCAGTATATTACCCTGGGATTAAGTGCGCTCTGAAAGAGTCCCGCTGACCTCTGTGGTGGCTGAGCAGGGCTGCTCTGGCTCCGGCGCTCCTTGCCTGGAGTTGGGCGTAGGCACCTGCCCTCTGCCTCCCGAGGGCCTTCTTCCTGAATTGTTATTAACTTGGGCATAATCTGTAACAAGGACGAAAAAAGCTTAAGGTTTCTGTAAAACATGTTGCTATTGACAGAGTCTGTGTTCCTAGTCTTGCAGTCTCTTTAGTACATAATGAGGTGATATTTATTTTTTTCACTTAAAATAGTTTTTGATTGCCTACAGTATTCTATGCTGGAAATATAATGGTGAGGAACGTCAAAGTCCCTTCTTCCGTGGAGCTTACATTTTAATAGTGAAGAGAAAATAAACACGTAAGTCAGATCAGATAGTGATTAATGCCATGAAGAATAATGGGGCAGGGACTGTGCAGGGAGAAGAGATGGAACCCACACTTGAAATAGGGAAAGTCTTGGGGAGAAGGTGGCACTTGAGCTACAACTGAATGATAAGTGGAGATTAGGGTAGAAATCAGTCTTGGCAAAGGAAGCAGCAAAGGGAAAGGAAACCCTGGAGTAGGCAGGAGATGGGCATATTCCAAAGATGGAGAGAAGGCCATGAGTGTGAACAGAGAATAGCGAGTGAGGGTGAAAGCGGACAGATGAAGCAAGGACAAGGTCAGTGGATCTCGCCCTGACTGCACACAAGGATTATCTGAGGGACTTTGAACACTGTCTCAGTGGCCAAGCCCCATCCTGCAGAGATTGTGATTTAATTGGTCCAGGGTGGAGCCTGGACATTGGGATTTTATAAAAGGTTCCCCAAAGAATTGCATTGTGCAGCCTGGGTTGAGAACATCATGTCTTGATCACGCAGAGTCTTACAGACTCCCATAAGGAGTTTGGACTTTAGTTGAATGACAGTATGAAGCCGTTCGATGGTTTGAACTGGAGGAGTCACATAACCTGGCTTATGTCCTTAAGAGGCTCACTTTGAGCACAGGTGGTTCAGTTGAGAAATTGTGGTGGGTTTGGACTATGGTAGTATCAGTGAAGATGGTACTAAGAGGTCACTTCGGGAATACATTTTGGAGGTTGCAGTATCAAGATGGATTGGGTTTATGGTGTGAAGCAAAAGGATGCCCAGGTTGTGGAAGAGTTGACCTGAGTCACTTCAGGTGGTGGATGGATGGTGGTGCCATTCACAGAGATAAGAGAGAATCAGGTGTGAGAGGGCAGGGACTAACTGGGTGGATTGATTGGAGTGAAAGCCTCAGGCTGTCTTCTCTGTAGACTTAGGTGACATACATACAGGCAGCCAAATAAGGTAGACCAAAATATTCTGATGAATCCCGTTTCTATAGGTACAAGTTTTCTAGAAGTTTTCCAAAGGTAAGCACCAAAAGCAGTTGACCTTTTTAATCTTAGTACATGGAACCTGTGATGAGAAGGGAGAAGTGAAGGAGGGGAACGGAAGACATTGAGCTTCTTTCATGTAGGAATCAGGCTGGATATAGGGGAAGAATATGCTTTGAGAGATTGCATGTAGGTAACACCCGTCTTGCTATAAGAATTGAATGGCATGGTGATGCAAAGAATTCAAAGTAACAGGTTATTTATACAAATATGTGACATGAGGGGATTTGTTTCCAACAAAATTAACTTCTAAGCTGTGTCTAGCTCACATTAAGATCGTAATTCTTAAGTTGACCTTGGATACCCAGCAATTACAAGTAACCCAGATTTTTAAGTCAGAATCAAGTTACTAGAATTGCTGACAAGACATTTGCATAGAGAACAATATATAATTCGTTAGAACAGTTTCTTTTAACCAGTGGAAGAAATGAGTTAAATTGTAACAGTAGTGCATGCTGATTAGTTATATCATGAAAAAATCTTAATTATAAGCTCAGTGAGGGCAAGGACTATGTCTTACACAATTTCCATTTTTTAAAATACCTCGTATGTCTGTTAACTCTGGGCTTCTTTGCCTTTTTGGTTTATTAAAAGTGTGAGATCTTTTTTGCTGATACTCTGGAGTCTGTGGTTGCCTGAACAGCTGAGCAGGAAGGTTGACCAGAAGGCTTCTGAAACCCTACCGGCCCCTTCTGGGATATTTCCTTTGTTCTTATTAAAGAAATTCAAGTTGTGGCTGCCTTCAAGTGAAAGCCAGATTTCTGCATAGCATGGCTATGTAGAAAATGACCTTGGCTTTAAACCACTTAAAGGTTCTATATTGGTTCCAGGCCTTAGAGGAATGCCAGCAGCCTGAGATTAGGCTTTAAACTTTGAAATTTCAAGCTATTGTCATTTTGTTTCACTGGAATGGATTTTTTCATGGTAAGCGAAATGAAGAGCATTCATTGCCCACCTGCCCGCCTCACTCATTTTGCCCACGTTCACCCCAGATAACTGCAGTGACCTGAACTCGGAGCTGCAGCGGGTGCTGACGGGGCTGGAGAACGTTGTCTGCTGCAGGAAGAAGAGCAGCTGCAGCCTGTCCGTGGCCGAAGTGGACAGGCACATCGAGCAGCTCACTACAGCCAGTGAGCACTGCGACTTGGCCATTAAGGTAAAGCTTCCCCACCCTCTCTGTGGCTCTTTGAGCTCATGTGGGGAACATGATCGGCTCTCTCTCTTTTTAAGTGTGGTTTTCTCAAAAACCTGCTAGGAATGAGTGAGAAATGCATACGTATAGATTGGGCCACCAGATAGAAGCCGACACCCATAAATTTTTGCTAGGCTGAATTACATTAGAAAAAATCATTATGTCAACAGTCAAGATCACCTTCTTTGCAGCAAAAATGACAATTTTCTTGGAAACTCTTAGACTGCTAGTACTGAACCACATCACTTTAGTGTGGTTCATCATATAGCCCAAAGATTAACTTGGGTGTTTTATTGAAGCTTTATGGCCTCTAGAATATCATTTCAGGAGTTATCAATTCATAGTCCTAACAAGGGGGAAATTCCAGGCCTCAGTGAGTCATGTATCCTGAGCACATTGGTGCTGGGTCTCCGCCACGCCTTTCATATCCATTCATTTTTACCTCTTAAGGACGACAGAAAGAGAGGGATTGGCTACATCTGCACTGGCTCGTCATGAACAATGGGAACGCAGAGTCCTGTTGATCCAGGGCCTCTGGGATCTTTGTATTACTTCACCACAGTTTAGTGACCTAGTAGGAGTAGCCATTGAATGGAGAGTCTGGGAGGGGCCTCTGTAAAGGGAAAATGTGATGTGTTGCTTGGAGAATGCCCTAGGCCTCTAGGCCCAAGTTTCTATCAACAGGAATCCTGGATTGCACAAGAGGTCTGTGGCATCTCAAGGTGAACAGTGATTCATGATTATAACACAGCTGCTTTTCCATCTTTATTTATCTCAATTATTAATACATCATTGATGTGGTTTGGGGAAGCAACCTCTGGTGTTTCTTTGTCTGGAGTCTCCTAGGCCCTATATTAAATTTTAATGTCAACTTGGGTACTAGCCCTGGACTCAGCTTTGAGAGGGAAGGAGGAAGCCAGGGACTTCTGCCAACGAGCAAGGATGGAGCAGGGCCTCAGATTTGAGAGGAAGGACGAAGCACAACATGGGGAAGGTAGCAACACGATTGGGGGAACTGATGGGAGCCACCACGAGTGACATCCCCTTACAGTTTCTGTTTTGTTTTCAAGACCTGTTTCTTACCGCGTCTCTCCACGGCCTTCTCCTCCCACCTACTGATCCCCTCCTCTTCCACGTCATCTGGCTGTGCATCCTTTTCCAAGGGACGAGAAATGTGAATGGAGAGTTTCTGAAAGCAGGCAGAATGAGTTCTTACTTTTTTTTCTTATTTTCTGCATGTTTCTTCTCCATTAATACTATGTTTTAAATGAATTTTTTAAAACTCTCCAAGTATTATTAAGATTCTGCTCTTTTTAGTTCATAGCTATCTTATTAATTAATTAAATTCCTGCTGTCTTAGAAACCTTCACAATGAGCTTCCTTTTTTCTTTGTCACCGAGGTTTATTTTTGTCTGTCTCGTCTTGGGGCTGCACCTCACTCACACCCTCTGAATTCTGACCTGACACGGAAAGCTGGAGATAGTGACATGGCCTCTCGTACTGCTGAGCTGGAACAGGAAGGCCTATAACTTAGGAAACTTCAAGTTAGGTTTTGTGTGAAGTGTGCAGCCACACATTTGCATTGTCGGGATCACTAACTGGCTTCTGTCTGCTGGTGTGTAGTCACCAGCTCTGGAACGTGGATGAAGGAGGTAGACATTGGTGTGGGCAGTTAGTTCCAGGAAGGGACCATGTGTTTGTTACCCTGGGGGCTGCTGGTCACACAGACTAGGACCCAAGCAAGCAACAGAGTCTGATTTGAAAATAGGGAGAGGGGGATCTGGGGGTGTCACTGCCCATGATGATGATTTGCGATGAAGAGGCTGCAAGACCCCCCTCCTCTGTGAACACGTGCTCCTGTGCAGCCTGTTTCCTGCCCCACCCCCTTTTGCCCAGCTCACTCACCTGGCCTGTTTTTGGGGCTGTGTTTTCTAGACGGTCGAGGAGATCGAGGGGGTACTCGGCCGGGATCTGTATCCCAACCTGGCTGAGGAGCGGTCTCGTTGGGAGAAGGAGCTGGCTGGGCTGAGGGAAGAGAATGAGAGCCTGACCGCCATGCTCTGCAGCAAAGAGGAGGAGCTGAACAGGACCAAGGCCACCATGAACGCCATCCGGGAGGAGCGGGACCGGCTCCGGAGGAGGGTAAGCATGCCAAGTCCAATTAGCCTCGGCCTTTTCCTAGGGGGCGCTGGCCAAGAGAAGCCAGCGTGCCCAGCCAAGGGCAATCCCAGGAATTTTATGGCATTTGTAGTCTCGGGAATTGCCATCCCTTTCTGGTTATGAAGTCATTTTTTTTTAAGTCATTCTTGAAAGAAAAGTAATTCGAAAGTGTTGAGGCATGGAGGAAAGACTCTAAAAACAAAAAAACAAACACTGTTCTCCGGAATTGCACATCTAAGTGGATAGTAAAATTATATCAGCCCAGTGATTCTCAAACTAGTCTCCTGGATACGCAGGTCTTCCCCAAGCTCAATTAAATTGTTCCTCTTTTAAGGTCAACTAATAATATTCCACAATTTACAAAAATATATAGAATTTTCCCCTTTGCAGTTTCTTTTATAAAATTCTTTACATTTATAGCAATTATTCTTATAGCACTTACCTATAGTGACTCTAATGAGAAATGTCAACTTCTACCTCAGACTTATTAATTTAAAATAATCATATCTGTACATCTGCATATGTATTTGTTTTGTGTATGTATAGATGTTAAGCGTGTATATGTGTGTGTAATTCCTGGTACTCACGCCGCTGCACCAATGGCTGTGTTGCCTGAAGCAGTTTGAGAATCACTCTGTTTAGGAAATATATCCATTACTAAAGGAGCTGATATTTCAGGATAGAAATGTTTGGCAGAATTATTAAAAACACTCAGTTTTCCAAAAATGGAGTTTTTTCCTCTGAAACCCACAAATACTTCTTTGTTTGGCTGTGAACTTGATCTGTGATTGGACTGGAGGTAAAGCAAGGAATTCTTCAATCAGAAACAGTTCCCTTTGAACTTCACTTTGAATTACGAGATCTACTTTAGTCTCTTTCCCAACCTTGGCGATATTAGAAACTTGCTTTCTAGTTGGGCTCTAACTGGTAGTTTTGCACACAGATTAAGTGGAACCGGAGAGGAAAAAGCACATCTGGCAGATGCCATCATCCTTCATCATTCCTCTCTCTCCCCTTTTAAAATAACACCTTGGAAATAACTTGTTCTTCAAAAATGTGTAACTCATTGTTTTTAATGCACATGTGAGTTTTCTTACTGTTATGTGTATGGAAGAAATTACTATTTTCGAACGTTATCAGCTCTTTTCCACACTTGTGGTTAATGGTATAATTAAAAGGCCAGCATTCCTACCTCTCAGATCTGAACATCATTTTGTCTGAACTCATGTGCATAATAAGGTTGTTTCCAGTACCCAGCTGTATCAGATGCCATTCTCTCGACTTGCATCAGCAGGTGTAAATCATCCCAGTCAGCAAAGACTTTATCTGGGCAAGCTGATGAAATTTGCTCTGAGCTGAGGCCCCCACCACCTGTAACTTCCTGGAGTGAACTCCCTGATCATTATGACTAATGCCCTAATTAGGTGTGCTTGCTCCTTGCATGCACATTCTGATGGTGCGCGTTTTGTGAAGGAAATGTTGGTCTCAGGTGTAATTACATATTGTGGTTTAGAATAAGTTTCCTCCTCTAACTTCAGTTACTGAATCACAAGAGAGCCCTGGATGGTGACCAGCAGAAGATAGAAAGCCAGTCCCCCTTCTTTGAGCATTTTCTCCAACTCTGGAGGTTGGTATTAAGAACAGCAGAGTTCGGTCATGCTTTGCAGCAGGGCTCTGGAGCCTGACCACCTGGGGCCAGAGCCTAACCTACCAAGTCACTATTGAGTCTTTGGCAAGTTACCTAACTTCTCTGTGCCTCGGTTTACGCTTTCCTGAAATGGGGGTAATACCAATACCCGATGCAAGAAAATTAGTTAATAATTCATAATACACCTAGACAACCTTTCTTCTGATCTCACTTAAAGGTAGTTTAAGTTTTACAGTTAATATTGTTTTATATTAAATTTATATAACTTATATTTCAATTGCCTCCAAATAAGCATGCCGAAGAATTCGTCTCTCTTTCTCAACTGCAAGTGTCCTCGGAAATTTGTATACATACTCATGAATTAGATTTATTTCTCTTTATTTCAAGAAAATCGTGGGTCTCAGAGAATTTGTTAGATGCCTTTCAGTGCCAGTTTACTAGACTTTAAATGCTGGATGGCATCCGCCTACCACCACCCATTATATTTCATTTCCCCGAGGAGGCATCCGTTTTTTGTGGTCGGTCTCTTCTGTTCTTCCTCGAGTGTGGAGTGAAGAACACTCTGTGGAGTGACTGAGTACACATTCATGTCCCTCCTTGTGATGTCACATGATACATGGCTGATCTGCCATTGCTGCCTTCATGGCAGCTCTGAATCCACAGTCCATCAAAGTTGCCTGAGAAGCAATTGGGGCCCTTTTTTTTTTTTTTTTTTCCACTGCCCATATTTATTGTATAGACTTTGAACTGACCAGATCAATAGGATTGGTGCTTGCCCCCTGCCTGCAATTAAACAAAGTGCTCTCAGTAGGTTTTCTGAGCCTTGTTCAAGATTTAATTAAATTAGATCTTTCATGTCAGTTAACAGATTGGACTACTTGGCAGAGCAGACAACAGCCAGATAATTTTTATTATTGGTCCCAGCTCATTATTAAATGAGATAATCATTTATTTCTGCATGGTCTGTAACACAACCATTCATTTCCTCACACTTAAAGAAATGGGCTTAATTTAGTCCAGGTAGAATTAATTAGTCTAGAAAGGAGGCCCTTTACTCTTCCTTCATTTGTTCTTTCGTTTTATAAACATGATTGGTCATTTCCTCTGCACCAGGAAGAGGGCTCAGGGTGATGAACAGGACACCATCCCTGGCTAGAAGGATTTTGGGGAGACAGGAGAGTAAGTAGGCCATCACAATGGTATATGTCAAGTGGCAGGGAAGAGTGAACAGAGAGGGTGCCCTGGGTGGGAGCTGATAGGAAGGATGGGTGATGGCAGATCCAGCTCCTTCACACTATGTGCATTCTCTGCATAACTGTGTAGGTCAACTGCCGTGTACCAAAAATGATCAGTATCTTCCCCAGGTTGTTTGGTAAAGCAAGTTGGATGTGACCGCAGGGTCATGAATCTATGTCCCATTGAATAATATGCACTTGACTCAAAAGTGGGCCACGCGAATTCTTTCTGAGATTTTAAGGAAATTCTTCAGAAAGTTCTACAAGTTCATGGCATGAGGTAATGGTAGCAGAGTTCCTTCCTTGCACCACGTGCCCTCTCTGGGTGTTTTCAATACGCCTGGAAGCAAATTCCTGGGGTCTGCTTCTGCTTTCACCCCAGTTACCACCCCAGTAAATTCAAGAGATTAGAAGACACACTGTTTTAACTCAAATTAGTCGCCCTAATCTGAAGTTTGCCTCTCTATTTTGTCTACTCTCCCTCAAAATGTCCTTAAAACCCTTAATATTAGTTAATTAACTTGTTTCTGGAGGAGGTAGTACTTTCATCAGTGATAAGAAGATAGCAAGTGTCTCTTTTCCAATCCAATCACTCTTGATTCCTAAATGCAATGTTACATTTATGAAGGGATTTCATTATTCTGTGTTCATGTAATAAAATGATCGCCCACTTCACCTAAAGTCTTTTAAAATATAAACAAAGACTCTAAAATGCAGATTTTTAAATGGCAGCCATTTGGCTCCTTGGCCAGGAAAAGACAGGTAAACTTCCAGAATCCTGTGGCACCCATTTCCTTCCTTCTCACCTGGCCTCCTTAACAGAAAGTAGCCCCAAATTTCTGGTAATGTGGCTCTGGGGTAGGGGTGGGTGGGTGAAGCTGGGAATGGAGGCCTGGAAGGAAGGAAGCAAGGTAAGAAGGAATTTCCTTCATACATTGTCACTCTCAGGACCCATTAGTCCTTAAGCTTTTCAAAGTAACAATCCTGCCATATACTTCTTTGGGCAATTTTTCAAAACTATGATTACAGTTTTATTACAGCAAAAAGATACAAATGAGAACCAGCTAAAATAAAAGATGCGCGCATAAAGCCTGGCAGGAGTCCAAATGCAAACCTTCCAGCTGTCCTCTCCTGGTGGAGTCCTGGACGGCGTCACCTGCTTTTGGCTGGGATGTGGGACGACCCTCAGTATTGCCAACCAGGGAAGTGCATCCAAGCTTCTGTATTTAAAGTTTTTATTGGGGTTTCATTATGTAGGTGTGATTGACTGAATCATTGGCCATGTGGCTGAACCCAGTTTCTGGCCCCTTCTCTCTCAGGGAGATCAGAACCATATCCTTCGGGCCACTTGAACGTTTGTGATTGGGGCAGGATGGCGGAGCCACACTGCGTCTGCCCCCAGACGTCCCCTTACCGTAGAGATCCCAGGGGCTGTTGGGGGTGTGGCGTCTAGCACTTACTGCATGAACTCACCGACTGAGGCAATTTACAGTGTCCCCAGCGTCCTCCCCCGGAGCTATTACTTCTGAACCCATTGGTGCCAGTTTCTAAATGCTGCGCTGGTTCTGAACACTAAATCAAATCCACCTTTAGTGTTTACCCACCTAACCTCCAAGGGCGCTTGTCGATCAATGGTCATGCTTAAAGGAGTTGAAAAGAGGAATCCAAATTAAACCAAAGGGGCTGCTTAGAAAGAGTAATTACCTTAAAGCTTGATCATGCATTTTATTATGTACTTCTTTCTACTAATTAGTTCATTTATAACGTATTTACTATTAGGCTTCCCATCCCTCTGGGAAATAAGATTTAGTGTATCACACAACACGTCCAGAGCATGGTCTGTTTCTGCAGCAGCCATTCACTGCATTCGAACTGTCTCCTTTGGTTATAGTTACAGGCTATGTCAGTGCCCTTTGATATTTTTAAGTAAAAATCAGTAACAGTGGAGCTATTTCTGGAAGTGTCTGTGGCCTTATGTAGTTTAAACAAAGATTCATCTTTGTTTCACCATATTTGGCCTTCAGGCCCATCCAAGCCCCTCCCACTCTGCGCCTGCTCTGTGATGCTTTTGTTGACCACAGTGTCTGCATGGGGAAAAG